AGGCGTGCCCGGGCCGATACTGGATTTGAAGAAACAACCACCCACTATACAGTCTAGACCTGGTCCCCGGCGATCACTTCCTGTTCTACAATTTGAAAAAAAACGTCGGAGGACGAAGAATTCCGAGTGAAGACGCAATGAAGGCGACAGTAGTGGAGCACTACTAAGGCAAGGATGGCGATTTTTTCATTGGGCTAGAAGCCCTTTATGATAAATGTAAGAAGTGAACAAGAGGGAGATTATATAAAAAAATAACATCGTTATACATTTACATATATGAGCTATTTCAATATCTTAGGTTCAAAACTTTTCAGCCTCCCCTCGTACAAACATATACATATATTCAGAGAAAGCCAGCCTAAGACAATAACTTCACCAGACTACAAAAAATTGACCGCTTTTGCCAAAAATACAGCACTAACGGTCAACAAAAATTTATCATTTCGTTTGTAAGAACAGTAGTGTCGAAGGAATTTTGACATCTGATATTTCACGGCCTGTTTTTTCACTTTCTCCGCACGAAATAATGGGCCGTATGAATAAAAACGCAATTACTTTTTCTTAAAATTTCATACGTTTTAACCGAACCTTCTTCTTTAGGAAAATGTTTAGATTTTTTTTAATGCCACCATGAGTTTTTTAATTGCATTTTCGTTTCAACGCCTGAAAATATGCATCTTTTCACTAAAAAATGCAGCTAGCTATATCCTGCAATGCTCTCCTGCTACATACAATAACCATCGCGCGTCTAGCTCCGCTTCAACAATCATGTCAACAAGTATCGCAAGGCAAATGTATATGTGTGTGTTTGTGTTTGTGTCACAACACTACAACTCCGCGCTTGGTGTTGCCGTTACCACCTGCCGTCCGTTAAATTATTAGGTGCGTTCGTTTAAAATCTCCAACAGAAACCAACCAACTGCCAAATTCCGGCGAAATGTCATCTGTTCGCTCACAAGAGAGAAATGTCCAAAATAGTACGCGAACAGAAAATTTGCAGAAATTTGCAAGTTAGACGAACAGCTGATATAATTTTTGTTTACATACAAAAGTGTAAAATTTAAAACGTACGAAAAGTCATCGCAAAGTGTTATACTGACACAGTTCATTGATTAAACAAATAACTACTTATTTCTTACAAGTTTAATTAGTCGCATTTTGTAATTTTTATCTTCCAAACCATCAAATTAAATTTTGTGATTTGCGTAAATACCAACCAGCTGTTTTTGATCAGCTGTTTCCCTGTTGGCAAATTGCTGTTGGCAAAAATTTTTCCAACAGAAACTAACAGCTTCCCCTCAAAATGAAATGTCACTTTGCTCTCTCAATTTCCCCTACTTTGCAAGTTTTTTGCGTACGCGAACGCAAAAACCTGTAAGTTTTGGTTAAACATGAACAATTAACAGCTACGCGAACGAACCTATTAACGAATTGGCTTTGGCAGCTTGTGTTGCCATTTTGCATACGATTAGTGTGACACACGCCGTTACCACTTGCAATTCGGATACTGATGTGTTGTTGAACTAGCTGATGCCTGCTGACGGTGTCTACGGACGCCGCCGACGCTGCTGCGGTGACATTCCCGCTGTTGACAGTAATCGTGCGCTTTAAACGTATATACATATAAACATACAACTACAGCCACATACATATGTAATTTACAAATGAAATACAAACACACTTACGTTCTCACACAGTTTCTCAATGCTTAATCTCTTTTGACACTTTTGCCCTTCTGGAGTTCGCGGCCCATGTTCTCTCACCTTCCCTTCCTCTATTTCGCTTGACCATTTGCATATCTTCATTGCATCTCTTCACCTCCACTTCGTTGGATTTTATCTTGTCTTCAGATCGCCTATTTGCCACCCGCTTGCTCAATCGCCTTGCTCGCGTGTGATAATTTGTAATCCTTTTGGTACTCTGTTCAATTTTCACACCTTTTCGTTGCTCTGTCAGTCCGCTGAGCTCAAGAATTTAAATGGGATTTGCACCTTCGCTCCAGCATCGGCCGTTAGTCAGCGACGTGCGACATCCGCATCAACAAGGGCAGTTGATTGCCCTTTGATCAGGACAATGTTGAATGACAAGGATATTACAGGGAACAAAAAATTTGCAAAGCCGCCTTCTATGTCCATTAGCAAAGGAATTGATTGAGTTTAATATTTAATTTTCAAAAACAAATTGAAAAGCTTAAGATGTGAGAAAAGTAGATGTTAATCGCTTCAAAATAAACATTAGAATGTGTTCTGTTGGACCTGGTTTTATTTATGCTTTCACAGAAATTTTTTCTTGCTGCTGCATTTTTGGTATTGCAGTTAGGCAGAGCAGTGAAGCCACTATTGTCAAGTCGTTGGGGTGATGACTTTAATCCTAGAACACACACCCAGAAAATACCACGTAAACACACACCCGGGATACGTTTGTACCCGGGACCATATTTTGCGGTTTTTTTAATGCTTATTCAACCGATTTCTATGATTTTTTTTT